TACAATTATATGCGAACTGGATTGTAATTGTTATATTAACAATAAATTTGATACCGTAACTGAAATGCACTTAGAAATTAAACAGGACGAACATAAAATTTATCATAATTATGTAGAACATAGTTTGTTCATAATATTTGTTTGTGTTTTTATTTGTGGAATATTCTGTATCCTTTTCATAAACAAATGTCTCATCCGAAGAAAGGTAGCACCAAATTCTAACGTCAGCAATCCAGAGACACTAAATCCGACATTTTCTTCAGCCGATAGCGAAGTCATGCCATGGTACAAACGTCTGCTGCTCGGAATTTCTCGTAAGGGAAATACAGACGTTGGTACTGCACGAAAAAGCAATCACTGAAAGGAACCAAGTTCTGGGCCCGAGATTGTTCTGACTTCTCACAACTTTAAAGATCTGTAAACGCTATTTGCAAATAAAATTGAACGTTTGAACAAAATCTACGTATTCAAGATTCGCGTCAATATTTACACTACAAAGAAAGAAAAACTTAATATTATATATGAGATTTGAGGTTTTTTTATGGTTTGCGAGACATTTACATTTAATTTTGTCGTGCTAGACCTGGATAGTATTTTTGGTTGAGTCTAATGCTAGCAGATTATATCTCATAAGGGTGGGTTTGACAAGGACAGATATCGGAATAGTAAAACATTTTACAGACTGCAATGCATTCTCTTTTTCCCGAACTGTATTACTTGTACCCCATATTTTCGATATTCCTAACATTTATGTGTATAAAGTTACTAAGGAGAGCATAAAAATAAAGTTACAATTTAATTATAAGTTCATTATTTAGGTGAATGATAAAATTCAAAATAATTATCTTTATATTTATTGTATGCATAAAGTGCCTATGAAACTGAATAAAAAAATAATATTTTTGATCCCTAAAGGCAATAATGGCCTAAGCCACTTAAGTTAATAAATATATTCATATGTTATAGTTGATTATAATAATTATGAGTTACCAACTTTGTTAATAAATAGTGTTCAAAATATTTCAGTGCTTATTGCCGTAAATGTTTTTCTTCAGTATTGTCACAATTTGTTCCTGACATTATTAAAAAAAAACAGTTACATCCAGTTGTTTTAATTTATTACGAGTTATTAAAATGCAACATATGGGATACTTTAAGATTCAGATAACTGCGTTCTGAACGTGAACACGTCTGTTCCGAACAAGTTCAGAAGCAGTGAACAATATTTAAACAACACGATTCCTTTACGTAAGTCTATTTGTCTTCATTGCGCATGACTCATTGTTTATCTGACATTAGGTGTACAAACAATTAAAAGAAATTTACGACCTGTTCATGTGACTTAAGCCTTGAAAACCGAAAGAATTTGAGTGCCTTCTGAAAAGACATTTAACTGCAAAAGACATCTGGAAAACAGAACGAACAGAGGAACGAAATTAGAAATGGAATTCAAGACTAGAATATTATAAAACCAGGTTTCGAACCATGAAGATAATAATGTTACTTGTCGAAACATGTTTCTGGTCTTTCAAACACACACTGGTAGTACCTTCATCAAGATAATTATATATTCCGAAATGAAAAACTGCTGAGCATAAACGAAAATAAAAGTGATCAAGAACAGAAATCAACATCAGGTTGTTTCGGTGGAAACTACAATTTTTTTTGAAATTCTGCCGCAGTCTAAAACAGAAACTGCGCTGAATTTTAAGTGGTTTACAAGCAGCAAGAGATCTTTACTATCAAAAGTAAGTATTATTACAGCTTAGTGAAACATAATATGTTTAGTAAGAACGATTCAGCAAAGATGCATTTAATGTCGAGATTAATATAATGGTTACAAATGGGCTTGAAAGAATTTAGCACCGCGTCTTCAGAGGTAGGCCTGTGTCTTACAACTCAACAAGAAATGGTAGTAAGTGGTTAACTTCTCGCTCTGACAGTTTTATTCCCGAAAAAAAAAGCCCTACTTCAGACAAGATCTGAAACCCGTTCGTCTAGTCCACTGATTCCTAAACTTTTTCCTTCATTACCCAAAAGCGCTTATCAGAAAGTCCATTTTACTCAATGTAGGTAAAACACATCGTATTCGGGGTTCAGAAAACAGTTTAGATTTGTGCTATTTAAGAATGCGAGAGTGGAAAATCCTACGTCACACATGTACGTGCTCGGAAACTGTAATAATTGCATCACGGCCTCCCCAGCTACCACAGGATATTCATCGTGAATTAACCAGAAAGACTCCAAATGGTCCTTTTTTTTCTACAAATAACATTTTGCACCTAAGCTCTGCAAAACCATTAACACTGTCGGGGATTTCAGTCAAGTCACAAAGAAAAACCACTGTTACCAACTTTTGTGTAATTTACCCAGGTTTGGGAAGCACTGGTCTAGCCGGTAGTCATCTCAGTACTGAGCTATTCGGCTCTTAACGTGATTATTCGTTGTGCTGTGTTTCAGATGCAGTTCACTAACGCAAAGCGTACAAGATTCGGACACTGCATTCCTTTCATTGTCTTGATATCCACAATGAACGTAAACAGCAAAATCTGCCTCAACGTCTGTGAATGTCTCGGGGAAGAAGAATATATATTAGCGGACTGTTCAGGGCGTAACTTGAACAGAATACCCGACAACAACAATGTAACACTGTACTACATTGACTTATCCAATAATATCATCGATGAAATTAGAACGTATGATCTACGTGGGTACAAAGGAATTCATATATTGAACCTCAGCAACAACGGGATTAGCAACATTGATGAAAATTTATTTCATGAGTTGGTTAACCTGACGCATATTTATCTGTCAGAAAACAACATTTCCTACGTGCCACCTACCGTATTTACTCGAAACTTAAATTTAAAGAAATTATATTTGAAAGGCAATCCTTTATCACTCTCGAATCACACATCAATTTTGGTGTCAGATTCTATCACATATCTGGACATTTCTTTTAGTAATATCACCCTTTTGCCTGCAGGATGTTTCATTTCTATCCCCAATCTTGTAGCAATACGATTAGATGGAAATATATTCACGAATATCAGTACTGAAACTTTCGAGCCTCTTCGAAATTTAAAAGAAATCTACATGGAATCAGAAAAAGGTGTTGTGGCATCGTTCTGTGCGTTTCAGAATTACCTTGCAAAACGCGAAATTAATTACTATGGACCTTCTGTTTGCACTGACGATAGCCAAAGTACAGCACCTCCCATATTAAAAGAAACTGCTCCCGTTTCCGCTGCAGTCGAGCTTAACCAAACACGAGAAGCAGTTGGTTTAGTCGTGCCAAGGACAAAACCCGATATATTAGAAACATCCACACCGTGTCCAAAACAGTTATCACCCACCTTTAACGAGAGACACCAAACAGCAAACATATCATCAATTATACATACACAAATTTCTGAAAACATCAGCTACGAAACACATACTCACGTAGAGTCAACTTCGGAGTCTCTACAAAGAAATTATTCATCAAAATCTGCGATCACTGCCATAAATACTCTAACAATTTACGTAACTTTGATGTTTGTATTATTAATTGAGTAAAGACTAACAAAGTACTACCATAATTAACGCAATACGATCTATTATGTACGTAACTTTGATGTTTGTATTATTAACTGAGTAAAGACTAACAAAGTACAACCATAATTAACGCAATATGATCTATTATCTTGTTACGAAATCTCGTGAGTATATTCTTAAACGAAAGTGTAATTATTTTCATTTATGTACTTACATCGATATATTAAAAGCTTTTAAGTTTATACACTATCTTAATTTGTTTTTGACTTTCCAGATCGCTCGACATTTTCCTTAAATGGCTTAATGTATTTAGGCGTATCATCCCAACCAGAATCTCTGTGCGTGTCCCTGATAGCTTTTCTTAAGATATCGGATTATGAGAACTTATTGCACATGGCAGTGAGCTTACACAAGGTTCTAACAAGTTCATTATTTACTGTCAACTTCTCAAGAAACATTCTACGCCATAGACAGAACTACCAACTGAGGAATAATCCGTAAAAGTACGAGAACAATTGATAACATCAGTCAGTATCACAACGCAGAATCCTAACAAAATCAAAAGCTTGTAGAACCTCGTAAAACCGTGGGGGGAGTTTTCACTCTCCATGAAAACTGTGCCTCGAATGTGGACGTACTCGGGTAGTAGACCATGACGTTATGTGGACTGTACGCCCAGCCGTAATTGTTACGACAATATCGTTCGACTATTGTAATATAAGCTATAAAAACTAACGTAGTCTTCAAAGTTTATTGTGGCCTTAAGCCGAGTAGATATTTACATCCTGTCAGTACAATACACAGCTTAGCTAATGAAGTACCATTACATTCCAAGAGAATTTATAACGCGGTTGCTAAATAATTAGTCATGCGGGCCGAGGCGTAGTTTCAGCAGTGCGTGAAGACGAGATGTAGCTAGCGGACTAGTAGCAGAGGAACCTCTCGGCTGTATACAGAGGTGAGTTGTCTCTAAACTTTAGATTTCTAACGACTATAAACACACTTAGATGTGTATATATTTTTTTTTTGCGTACCAAGAATTGCACAAATCATTTGATTTTAAGATAACTACGTAATATTCCTGGTAACGACATGACCTTCAACACGCTCATCCACGAAACCTTGTTTACAAACGTTGCGCTCAGCGCCATGTTAAATAAATTATATTAACAATACGATACTTAGATTTACCAACTTCAAAACAAAGATTTTTACTTAGTTGTGTTTAATCACTATGTATATAGGAGAATAATGCGAACTATCGTCTATACATACAAGAGGTAAAATTCTTTTATCTTTCTACTGACGTTTGAATTAATGAATTAATTTCTAAACCGTTCTACATTGGGTGTTACCAAAATACTATATATTCTTACGTACATTCTAGCTTTATGAGTATCAACATGTCAACTGTTCGAACGATTTAATTAATAGTTAACGTGTTTCTGAAATTTAATCAAAAAAAAGGGCCTTTTTTTGTTAAGGATGTTAAACTAAAATAACCATATTAAATATATTCCCAGTTATCTAATGCATTTATGTTAGACGCATTCGTAATTCGACAGGAAGATTAGAAATGCGTATAAAATTTTTGTCTGAAATATTGTCAGTTGTGCAGCTATAATGTTTCGGAGAAGTAGGTTTTTTGGTAGCAATTAGAAAAAAAAGTAAGGTTTCTAATAACTGGCCGTCAATTTCACCATTTTCTGATCTGATCAGAGACTTTTTTAAATATCAACTACAAAGTTAAAGATACTTAAATTGGATGTGTAAACTCAACCTCGAAAATGTATCAACAACTACAAATATTTAGGTAGCTTACATAAAATACCGTCTTAAAATATTATATTCGCCAAATGTACCATAAAATAACGGCACAAGGGCGTAGCGTCCAGAAACCCTTCTTTAATTTTGTTTCCTTCTCTTCAGTTTATGAAAAAAAAAATCATTTTCACTACAATATGAACTACGCTAAACAAGTTAACTAAAGAATCCTTCGCGCTATTTATCGGCCACTTAAGTTCGGAGGTTTCTCATTAGTATCAAATACCGATATCAAACATGCAAATCGGAATATCGGCGTATAGAATCTCCTAAATTACTGATATTAATAATATGCTCACTAATTTGCGGTTAATAACTGTTTCTGAAGCCTAGATTATTCGCTACCACGTGACACGGAACATACCCACTAACATGCGACAGTCATGTTCTGCGTTACAAGTTCATTTCCCGGTATTTTTCTCTTTGCTGCTGAGGAATGCTGTTATAGCGGGTTCCGTGTTAAATGGGACACACTGTACGAACTGAATTGAAAAAATTATAATACAGGGGAAAAAAAGCTTCGAGATTGTGCCTCCAGTATCGGAAGTCGACAATTCTCACTAATAGACCTCTAATAGCCTCGTTTGCATTTGTTCGCACGTTTGGAATAATCACCCACACGTTTCTAATGTTACAGCATCGGAAAAACACTCTACTGAGAATTCTCATCTAGTCACGAAATTCATCGTCTTTTATGGAACTTGAAGGTTAATTTCTGTATCCATAAAATCCCGCCAGTGGGCCCTAACTCGAGTCATTAGTGCTACATACCCAGCCCATCTCGTCCTACAACCTTACCTACTGTTAACTTGTCTCTAATACTAAAATACGCGATTCCCCGTCGTCGTCGTCAAGAAATGACGTCATCAAAACAGCGTTAGCTATAGCCGAGTCACCTTTAAATGTTCATTCCTCAGCAATGGTAAGAGTAAGGGTATTTTGTTGTAATTATAATTGTTTATACATTTATTGTAATTTTATAGAACCAATGTGTACAATTTTCAATGCATCTGGCGCGTTAAGCGCCCGCCTCTCGAAAACCGTAAGAGATGGATCTAGACATATTGCGTACGAAATACGTATTACCTCTTCAGCTTTCCATATCTGTTTCCAGATTTTACATGTCACAAATGATTTAGGTTCTACAAACAAAGGCGCAATCCACTCGCGTCATTTCTTTACTCGGCAACTAGAGTTCATTTTCTTCCCTACAGGAGGCAGAAGAGTCGAAATTATCGAGAAAGAATGATAAGTCCACCTAAAATGTTTAAGGCTATTTATGAAGTCAGCATTCACAAACTGGCAACCTAAAGACATACGACTTCTGACTTATTTTATTTTCTCTCTCTTGTTCAGATGTGGCTAGCTGCAACTACAGTCTCGGTCTTGGGAAGGATCGGCCCTGCCGTGCTAATTGTGGTCACC